AAATTCACGTGCTCATTTTAGAGTCTTAACGAGATCGAATCGCTCGTTCGAGCATAATGGGCTCTAATACCATGTTAAGAATTGGAGTTCCATCTTAAAAGGTCAACCTTGTTAAGAGGAGTAGCCCAAGATCTTTATTAATTGATCTGTATCAATATCATTTATCGATGTGGGATATATATCCCTTAACAATTACTTCATGTCTCACAGTTTCCTTTCTCTATCAACCGACTGGTTATTAGAAAATACGACACTATGCTTCACAGCAAGATACAGAATTTTCTAAATCTGAAAACTTTTAAATGACACTATTCTTAGCGGGTTCGGCTAAACAAAAAAGAAGTATTAATGCTTCACCTTTTTAAAAACAAAATGTGTATTGATAGGAGAAAATTACTTTTTTTTTTTTTTTTTTAAGTAACCCAATCCCTACAGTCAAAATTTACTTATTTTCAACATTCTATAATGAAATTATTTGTTTCATAACTTTCTTACTTTTAAGTTTACATATAAATGAACTTTCAGCTTAACCAAAGATGTAATTTGCCTGAAGATTATTTCCATTACCCAAAATGTGAATATTATCATATATTTAGTAAAAATATCAGGATATTAAATATAAAGAAATATCCAACATCGAGAAGGCATAAAAACTTAACCTTCCAACAACTTTAGCAAGCGTTTGAATATAACAATCAATCATCTGCTGCTTAGTCGCCCCTTCACCACCAGGCTTATCCATGACAATAAGCCAGTGTTTATAATCACATCCGGGGAAAAGCGGGGCCATTTCCGTGGGTGGTCGGTCACCGAAGTTCGACCCCGAGTTCAGCGGCGAGTAAGAAGAGCCGGACCGATTGACTCGGCATCTGACAGTGTTGTACCGGGTCAAGTTAGGAGAAGTAACCAGCAGGGAGTGGGATAAGGCAGCTGGTGCGACAGAGCGGGTGGAATAAACGGGCCCTGTTCCGGGGCGGACGTAACCGGTTTTGGAAATAGAGAAAGAGAAGAGGCGTTTCTGGAGGAGAAGAGAAGCTGTGGCACCGATCGATCGGACGGACAGGATTGATCGGGCTATAGCGGCGGCCATTTTTCAGCGTGCGTTTGAACGCGAGAGAAGTGGAAATGGTCAAGGGTAATTTTCAAGGGTTTTGGAAAACTGGAAGTGCCTACAGTTACCTTTATACAATTTCGAGCAGTGAGTCACACGACTTCTATTGACTGGTCATTTCCACTTTCGACCACACATACCCAACACTGGTCCACCAATTTTCGAACCAATCATGCTACATGAACATCAAGGTTGACATTAAGCTTAAATAATATCACATTGTATTCTATCGGTTTAAAACAATTTTTCATCAAATCATCAATTGTCACATATAATTATGTCGAGCTTTCTGTCAAATCCTTCTGGCAAACCATTCTCTTCACCCCACCCCCTTCTCCCTAAACGCTCTCCTCTCTATCTATTATTGCTAGTCTCTCCCGCAATTTCTTGAGGGGAATGTTCTAACCATTTCAAGAGTGTTGTACCAAAATGAATACCTTTTTCCTCTCAAAAAAAGACGACCTAGTATTTCTAAGCTAAGATAGTCCCTTAATCATCACATTCAGTTTGGAATTTTTTGATCTCAAGGTGGAAGACTCAGAACTTTTTGATCTCTTAGTGGAAGACTTCAAAGTTTGATTATTCAGTTCCATGGCCTCTGCACTTGACTGATCAAAGTTAAAAGTAATCTGGCCTCAAGTTTTTCTTTTCTTTCTTTTTGACTAGTGGAGAAGATAAAAATGAATATCAGATCGTTATAATTTCTTGTGATGCGTTTAGAATGGGGCGCTTTGAATTGAATGCCTCTCTTCCTAACTACTACTGCTATATAAGAAGAATTAAACGAGGAAAAGTTATGTCACATTGAGCAAAGCACGGGCATGGAAACATCAAAAATAGTTCTTATTTTCCTTCTTTATATTCTTCTTTTCCCTTTAATTCCTCTGCAAATTGAATCATCTGTGAAAACAAAAGCAGAGGCTCTTGTAAGGTGGAAGAACACCTTATCATCTCATCATTTTCTCGATTCATGGAGCTTGCACAATCATACTAATCTCTGTAGATGGCAGGGAATTGTGTGCAACTTTGAGGGGTTGACTTTTGAGATAAACTTATCTCGTGCAAACATTAATGGCACGCTCCAACAATTCGATTTTGCTTCAGTTTCAAATCTTACACATTTCAACCTCAAAAATAACAATTTCAGTGGGTTCATACCGTCTGCTATTGGCAGTCTGTCAAAGCTCACTATCTTCGACTTGAGCAACAATGTATTCCGATTTTCGAGGCATCATTCCACCGGAAATTGGAAACTTGACAGAAATTCAATACATTAGTTTCTATGGCAACAGTCTTAGTTCCATATCAAATCAGTGATCTTCAAAAAGCATGGTACTTAGATTTTGGACTCAATTTCTTGGAAACTCCAAATTGGTCTAAATTCCAAGGTTTCCCCTTATTGACACACCAACTTTTATAGCAACAACCTCACTTTGGAATTTCCTGATTTCATACTCTTGTGCCAGAACCTTACATATCTTGATTTGTCACTAAACTACTTGATTGGCGAAATTCCAAAATCATTATTCAGCAATCAGGGCAAGCTAAGGAAGTTGAAAGATCTTCGCTTACAGTACAACTTATTCTCTAGTTCAATCCCCAATTTTTTCCGTTTGATGCCCAATCTAGAAATCCTTGATCTATCTAAGAATTCATTTTCGAGTTCCATACCTCCAACAATCAGGAGTCTAACAAAACTTGAATTTCTGAAACTTTGTTCCAACAATCTTACTGGAACAGTTCCATCTGAGATTGGAGATTTAACAAAATTGCAATTTTTTGATTTCGGTGGAAACCATTTAAGTGGGCAGTTTCCCAAAACCATCTCTAAACTTAGTAGATTGAGGGTTCTAAGTCTGAGCCAAAATAATTTTTCAAGCAACATTCTATCATTCATTTGCAATTTTTGTTTCCTTGAATATCTTTTTCTAGATCATAATATTTTGGAAGGAACCATTCCAAACTGTTTCGAAAACTTGATCAGTAAAGGACTGAGGTTTTTGAATTTGATGAATAATCATTTTCATGGCACAATTCCTGCAATATCGCCGAAGAGATGTAAATCGAAGCGTGTTATCTTATCCAAGAATCAATTGAAAAGATCAGTGCCCGACACTTGGATAAACTGTAAGCATCTTAAAGTAGCATATATTGGACTCAACAAGATAAGTGATTTCCCCGGATGGATGGGAAGTCTTCTAGAGCTTCGAGTTCTTATATTGAAGTTCAACAAATTCCATGGTAGAATACCTAATTCATCCAAAGCAAGGCTACCCTTCTCTAAGTTACGAATTCTTGACATATAATGAGTTCAATGGACTTCTACCAATTGGATATCTAGAACAATTCAAAGCCATGACGAATGTGAGTGAAAAGGAAATGGAAATGGAAATATACCCATATTATACATATCCTTTAACCATTTTGCTAAAAGAGATCGAGCTTGAGTCGATTCTTATCAGAAAGACCTATACAAACATTGATCTGTCCCACGACAAATTCCAAGGAGAGATTCCAAGTTCAATAGGAAAACTTAAGTTCCTACGATCTCTGAACTTATCTTATAACAATTTTACCAGTCATATCCCACTATCGCTAGAAAATTTGACTTTACTCGAGATATTGGACCTTTGTTCAAACCAACTGGTAGGACAGATTCCCTGGCAATTAACTAGATTGACATTTTGTCGGTCCTTAACCTTTCATACAATCATCTTGTTGGGCCCATACCTGTGTGTTATGTCTCGATTTCGTGGTTTAAAAAGGCTGGGCCACGTGGCAGAACGGTCAATAAGGAGTCAAGATGAGGACCAATGGGTCAGGAATCCAAGTAAGAAAATGGGCCGAGGTCCTTAACCCAGCAACGAATGCTTTTGCATTAATAAGCCTCGGCCTAAAGCACTTTCTCACAGACAAGGCACTACCCCAATCCGAAGTCCTTTCAGGCACGTCCGAATCTCATGAAATAGACGCTGCTTCACAATGGATTCGAAGATCTTTTTGAATTGATTGATGCGACGTCTACAGTAAAATCTCTGTAATTTTAATCATTGTCAGCCTATTACTAGAACAGCTGACCTCTAGTCAAAACATTAAATATAATGAGAGGACAGTGATATGAAGTTTCGGCTTAGGGGATGTCGCCACGTGGATTTGATCCAACGATCACCACGTCAGTTAGAACAATATAAATAAGTCACTCTCTGTGTGAAACAGATGGGGGATTCATCAATGCAAAAATAGACAAACATATATGTACACAAACACTTGAACCCTTGCAGAAAAGAGAAAACACATCTACTTATCATATCTATCATTCCACATATTCCACTATAAATGAGAGATTTCTTCTTGATTATCAAGCGATCATTGATAATGTGGTTGCCTTCAAATAACACCGCCGAAGTCCAAACATTTTTGTCTTTCGCCGAAAATGCCTCCCACGTTCATTATAGTCAAACAATCGTTCCTATCCTAGAAGAAACGTGCCGGAATAACACTTGACGTGGCGAAAGTGGGCTCGGCATCTGTTGAGTTCATTTTTTGGGGTCAACAAATTGGCGGCGTCTGTGGAAAACCATACGGTTAACCATGAAAACACGTGAAAGGGAAGTCAGGTTACATCTTAGAAGTTGGGTTTTGGAGCTAAATTCTAACCCTTGAAAAAGGAGTGCCCTTGAAAAAGATGAGCAAGAAGGAGATCAGAACCCCTGGAAAAATGATTTCAACTGATGAGCATGCCTCATAAAGAACGAGGGAATACCCTGAAAAATGGGAACCCTCGCATGCTGCCCCCGCTCCTCGCCCACGACCTCCTGCACGCAGACGAGGAAGATCCAGAGGTGGAGGCAGGGTTGCAGCTAGACTCACAAGGGAAATGGCCACCATGGCTGCCAACATGAGAACATTACTCAACAAAACCTGGCCATGCAAGAAATGCTAACAAGCATGCAATGGTAAGGAAGGTATCAAACTCCTCCATATATAGCCCCAGAGGACATCCTCCATGAAGCACAAGGATATTATCAAGAGGAAGAGGTTCAAAGTCAAATGGCCAGACCCTCGGATACTGGGATGGAGGCCCTTCAAGAAATAGAGGCCGAGATGGAGGCCCTCAAGAAAGAGGTCGGAAAAACCATATGAGGCCCCATTTGACCACCCCTCGAATTATGGACCTAGAAATCGACCTCAAAAGTCCGGGAGTGTTTTTGACAGAATAGGCTCAAGGGCACCTAGAAATAGGCAGGAACACTCATCCCAAGCACCTAGAAATAGACAAGCTTATTCTCCTCCCCAAACCAGAGAAAGACGACATGGACCTCCCCAACATGAGGATCTACCAACATACTATGACGAACCACTGATTTCACCCCCTAGAAATAGGTGGGAAATGAGGAGTCAGGCTAGGAATGAGGCAGCAACCTTGTAACCACGTCCCCAACCCCTCCAGGGAGAAGATGAAGATTTCGATGGGCCCCAAAGATCCTGTGATTTGGATGATGATGATGAACAATCTCCCTTCTCAGAAGCTATAAGAAATGCCCCCATGTTGAACCACTTCGCACTCCCTAAGATCCCAAAGTATGATGGGGGGGTGACCCTGCAAAACATGTAAATAATTACAAGACACACATGAATATGAAAGGGGCCACCCCGGCAACAAAGTGCAAAGCTTTTCACCTAACGTTAAGTNATCCTGTGATTTGGATGATGATGATGAACAAGCTCCCTTCTCAGACGCTATAATAAATGCCCCCATGTTTAACCACTTCGCACTCCCTATGATCCCAAAGTATGATGGGAGAGGTGACCCCGTAAAACATGTAAACAACTATAAAACTCACATGAATTTGAAAGGAGCCACCCCAGCTATGAAGTGCAAAGCCTTTCACTTAACATTAAGTGGAGGTGTAGAAGTCTGGTAAACGAGGCTACCTGAAGGGAGCTTCCGAAGCTGGCCAGACATGAAGAAGACGTTT